CCTTGGCTATTGTAAATAGTGCTGCAGTAAATATGGGAGTATAGGTATCTCTTTGATATGATTTTTTTTCTTTGAATATATGCCCAGGAGTGGGATTCCTAAACATAGGTGGTAGTTCTATTTCCAGTTTTTGGAAGAACTTCCATCTGCTTTCTATAATGGATATACTAATTTATAGCTCCACAGAGTGTATGAGTTCTCCAATCTCTGCCCCCTCACCAGCAATTATTATTTGTCTTTCTCATAGCCATTCTAACTGGGGTGAGAGGCTAGCTCATTGAGGTCTGGATTGGCACTCCCTGACAGTGGTGGTGGTGGTGAGCATTTTTTGCATACACATTGTGCATTTGTATGTCTTCTTTGGGGAAGTGTCTGTTCAGGTCCTCTCCTGGTCCACAGCAGCCCCCCTTCTCCTGCTGTCCCTCTCTGGTGTAGCTTCCAGGCACGCATCCCTCCACATCCAAGGTGCAACCTGATGAGATAGGAGGGGGTGACTTTCCCCTTTTGCAGAGGGTCCCACTCCCACTGTACTGGGCCTGGAGGCAGCAGACCTAGGGGCTCTTCAGAATGCATTATCCCACCTTGCACCCTCAATGTAGCATTTCGATCTAGAATGTTCCAAGTGTGAAAAATCAAAGACTATCTAAAGGTAGAATTTCATTCCAGAGTATTCTCTGCAGTCCTGAAGGGTCTCCTGCTTTCTGCCCCACCCTTTGGTCCCAGCACAGGACCCCCTCAGCGGGGAGAGACCAAGAGGCCTGGCGCAGACAGAGGAGCTGCCTGGCTGGCTCCTTCCTGTCCCACAGAGCCAGCCCAGGGGATGGGAACAGGCGTGTTAGCCTCCTGCCCACAGCCTGCGCCAAGGCTGCAGAACACATCACCCAGTGCAAGAGGCAGCTCTGCTCCGTGAAACATGCAGAGGACCTCTGAGGTCCTTCATGTCCCCCAGAAATGAACTCACAGACCTGGTTTGGTTTCTAGGAACTTTGAATTTTTTTTCTTTTACATTTCTCCCAGAAATTCAAGTCTCATTTTAACCACACCGCCTGCCTTCCTCCTCCTAGCATTAATCCAGAGACCAAACCAAGAGCAAGTAACACTGTCACCGGGGCCTCTAGGTGGAACCCCTACACGATGCCCATTGTCACAATAGGGCAGGCCTTGACGCAGAGCAGAACAAATCCTGAGATGGGTTGCAAAAACCGTTTGCAAAGTTCAGGAATGAAGTCTCATTACCCAGTCGGGAAGGAAAGGAGTGCTCAGACCCTTCACACACTGAGAAATGGCCTGGGTCTTGTTCCCAGGCTCTTCTCAGCATCAATCAGAGGCTAATTATAGCTCTTAGGCTGGGCCAGTATAGGTGCAAACAGCCTCCACCTTGGGGTTCTCGGTCACCAGTCGGTGCCAGCCAGGACTTTCTAAGCAACGCAGCTTGCACCAAACTCCAGCTCCCAGACCCCTCCCGAGGCCTGCAGCCCCTCTCTGCTCCCTGGCTCCACGGGTTTGGTCACTTTAGCTACTCTGTATAAACAGGACCATCACAGCATCATGTGCTGAGTGACTGGCCTACGTCACTTAGCACAGTGTCTTCAAGTTCACCCCTGTGGCAGGCGGCAGAACTCCCTCCTGTTAAGGCTGAATGTGTCCAGTGCATGGAGGGACCACACTTGCTTATCTCTCCAGCAAGGTGGTTGCTTCCTTGGGGCAGTTGTGACTAATGCTGCTCTGAACCTGGGGTGCTGTGAACATGGGGTGCACACTCCTCCTGGAGTCCCCACCTGCGGATGCCTTACATCTGTACCCCAAGGTGAAGCTGCGGGTCCTACGATAATTCTGTCTGATTGTTTTGAGGGTCTGCCTGCCGTTTCCGGGTCTTCTGCAGCCTTGGTTTTATCCCTGCCTGCCCCAAGGCAGGCGCAGCTCCTCCTCTCCCCCCTCAGGAGACAGTAGGTGCAAAGAGCCCACCCTCCCACACCCACACCCACGAGGGACGCATCCTGGGGCACTTTCTGCTCTCTGAATTTCCTCTCCACCTTCCCCCCTCACCTCCTCACCTCACCTCGCCTGCTTGGGAGTGAGGATGCTCCTCTCCTCTGACAGAGCCCTTCAATGACACTGTTTGTGACTGAATTCCGCCCTGGGCGGGTTCACCTTCCACCTGCAGAAACAGCCAGCCGGACTGTCCTCGGAGGGCTCCCTCCTGTGTGCCTCGATGTCTGTGGGTGACCATCGAGCCTAGATCACATTCCAGCCCTGCCGGGGGCCACCTTCCTTTCCTCCGCACCTGGGGCACCCACCATCTCCCTACAAAGTGCTGAGAGCCCCTGACCAGTGGCATCTCACCTCCTTTCACCAAGTGCCAAGGTCAGGCTTGCTGGAGAGATGGGTGTCCTCTCAGAGTCCAGCAAGTGCCTCATCCCCAGAGGACAGCAGGCCACCTGGGAGAGGGGAGGGAAGTCACCCTCAGGGGCCAGGACCAGTGGTCAGTCTGTTAAAGGAGAGATTAAGCCTGGGATGCCCTGGCCTGGTCCTGAGTCTGGACCTGCGTTGGGGCTCTAGAGAGCTGGCGAGCGCCCGCCTCCTTTGGCCATCGAGGCTCATATTCGTGGAGTGTTGAGTTTGTCTCTTCCATGCCTCCTTCGAGAGGCAAAGGACAGAGGTTCAGGGAGCATTAGTGGCTTCGCCCAAAGCCACTGAGCCAGCAGGAGAGGGGCTCTCACCCAAGCCATAAAGCCCTGCATCTGCTGCCCCAGGAGGACAGGAGCCCTGGAGGGGCCACTGCACTGCCTATGGCCAGCCCCCCGGGGACCTGAGTGCCAAGTTCCCAGGCTGCTGAAACATAACCTTTCCCTGCTCTCTGCTGCCCCCTGCAGGCGGTGTCTCACAGCTCCTCTCAGACACTTGGCCAACCTGAAATTCTCCAGTGTTAAAGGATATTTCAGAACAAAGATCCAATTCCTGAGGCTAAAAAGCGGATCTAAACCACAGGGTTCCTCCCTTTCCAAGGAGATCTATCTTCAAATTCCAAAATACTCCTACGAGAAGCAGGAAAAGCCAGGCTCCTGAGGGTGGCGTGAAGGCAGAGGTGTGGACAGTGTCTTCAGACAGGTCCGACCTCTGTCTCCGTCAGAGAGGGTGCAGGCATCGCCCCACCCAGTCCCCAGCATATTAGGGGCTTCACAGAAAATGAGTAGATGACCAGCCACTTGTGGCAGCCCATCACCCTCAATCTGGTGCTACTCTAAATCATTAGGATTCCTGACTGGCAAAGAATTTGAGTTGCGATGCCCGAGGATTGAAAACTGAGCTCGGGAGTGGGACTATGAGCATCCATCCCAATTCTTGCTGACCCTCAGGTGAAGTCAAGGCTTTCTCTCTTGATGCTTCTCACCCATGAAATCAGGAAACGAGATCTGTAAGGTACATGGAAAATGAGTCCTCGTGAGGTCACGCATTTTTCTACCCAGTAGCGCCTCGTATTCCCAACTCTCGAAGAGGAAGGTGAGGACATTGGCTTTAATTTACGTAACCACAAATTAGGAAGGGTCCCTCTGGAGTCTCATTTGGCTTCAAGCCACATAGGACCCCAAAATGCTAAAACAATGACCACTTGCAAGTGTAGGCAGAGTGAATTGTGAGAAGGAATCAGACCTCAATTCAAGTAGGGGCAGCCTGTGGCCCGTCTTGGTGGCACTAAATGGAAAATACTCCTCTAAGCCTGGCGATATCCTGCCCCACTCTTGCTCTGCCATGTCACAATTGTGAAGCCGAGTGACACACTGAGCCCCTGAGCTTGAACACCCTGGCTCATAAAATTCAGGCTCACGCTGCCCTGCTGGTGCCTCTGGGACCGTGGGGGTCCCACAGTTTCCACATGGAGATGGATTTTGGAATCTGGGGTCACGTGCAGAGTTATCATGTCCCTTCCTCATCAGGAAACACGGAGGCACTCAGATCACTGTAGCCTCCCACAGGGTCACAGGCCACTCAGCCAGCTCCACGTCCCATGCGCGCTCCAGCTCTCCCTCGGAGGCGGAACTTAGCGGTCAGTCCTTGGGGTCATGGAGTCTGACTGAGTCACTGACCAGCTCCGCTAATGGGGGACTCTGCGACCTGACAGGGATTCTTCTCGTGCCTCTACTTCCCTACCCACGATGGCGTTTTACTCCATGGGCTGCAGGGAGGAGCCTTGATGTGTGTGAGTACACCCAAAGGGCCAGAACCATGCCTGGTTCACAGTAAGAGATAGTCACCTTGTTTCACGTTCAATTCCCTTGAAACTTTATTAAATATTTCAGCATTCAAGGACATTTAAAGGATAACATAGCAGCTGCCAGCCCCCCAGCATATGACCTAGAGCCCTTAAATCCCCCCCATTACATTCCTCTTTCCCACCTCCTGAACTCGGGGTTTGTCCTTCTCATCTTTTCTTCATCTTCTTGCTGCATCTGAATATATCGCTAAACAGTGGGAATGAACTGGAAGGGTTTTGGGTCTGGTTTGGTTTGGAACCAGGGATTGAACCCAGGGGCTCTTAACCACTGAGCTGTTACACCCCCAGACTGTTTTTTTTAAACAGGGTCTGGCTAAGTTGCTTAGGGTCTCCCTAAGTTGCTAAGTCTGGCTTTGAACTTGTGATCCTCCTGCCTCAGCCTCCTGAGCCCCTGAGATTACAGGCGTGTGCCACGGCACTCAGCTGGAAGTATCTTTGAGCCAGGACTACATGCACCTCTCTCAGAAGAGAAGGATTTAGGTAGTAACTTGCCCAGCACAAAGCTGGGTTGGACAAACACACCCTCCTTTGTCACCTGAGCCCAGAAGCTGCTGCTGTTTCTAGATGCACCATTCAATGACCCAAGACATCCGTTAGGACTCCTGGTAGGGGAGGGACCAAGTGCCTGAGTGTCAGGCACTGTCGCAGAGGAGGTGTTTATGCATGTGAGGGACCCAGGAGCCGCCACCTCCACCGCTCTTGCTGACCCCTTCCTCGTCCCTTCCAGGCGGAGATGCGGCTGCAGGACCAGCAGCTGGCCAGGCAGCTCATGCGCCTGCGAGGCGACATCAACAAGCTCAAGATCGAGCAGACCTGCCGCCTGCACAGGAGGATGCTCAACGATGCCACCTACGAGCTGGAGGAGCGGGACGAGCTGTCGGACCTCTTCTGCGACTCCCCGCTCGCCTCCTCCTTCAGCCTCTCCACGCCGCTCAAGCTCATTGGGGTCACCAAGATGAACATCAACTCCCGGAGGTTCTCTCTCTGCTGAGAAGCCCCAGAGGGGCAGAGGACCCCAGAGGGAGGGAGCTGGGCTGGGCAGTTACCCAGTGGGCTCCCCCGGGCATGCCCCCAGGACCTGGTGGAGGGCGGGTGCTCTTGGGAGGCCCAGCCCTGGGCCCCAGTGTCTCCTGGCCCGCTCTTATTCAGCACCCTGAGTGTGCAGAAGCTCCGTGGGCAGGGTCCCCGGTGCTCCACCTCAGTCCCCCTCCTGGGTAGCTGGTGCTATGAGCTGGGACCACCCAAGGGAGCCCCCAAAGCTGGCTGCTCTTATAGAAGGCTCCCCCCAGGGGCGATCAGATGTGTTAGAAGCACCCAGCTCACACCGTTGCCACCCTCCAAGTCCTGGCTCAAAGCCGCCCTGGGTTGGTGACTTAGCAGCCTTGACAGGGACCCAGCAGGAAAGGAAAACCATAAAGAAGAGCAGGACATGGTGCTGGAACATAGGACCCTTGGCCTGGCAGAAGCCAGTGCCCTGGTGGCACCACCTGGGCTGCTGTCAGTCTTGGGCACCGTGAGGCCAGGTAAATTGTTGCTGAGTGTGTGGGGACGTGTGCTAGGTGTGCACCTGTGTGGCTGGGGTGGGGCCCCCTTGCCTCCCCTGGCCATGTGCACCACCAACAGCTGGAGAGCACCTAGGAGGTGGCTGGCGACTGGGCCAGGCAGGTAGGGAACAGGTCACCCATCACTGAGTTCCCCAGAGGGTGCACAACAGAGGCCTCCAGGGAGCCCAGAAGCCCCTCCTGGGCCTCCTCTGAGACAGAGTCTGAGCTCAGCCGCTCACTTTAATTGAATAGACTGTTACACTAACGTGTTGCCAACTTGTTTATAACTGGTTCTCGTCCAAACTGGAAGCCAGTTGAGCAGGTCGAGCACAGAGCTTGGGGTTTGGCTTTAAGAGCTTCTCCCACAGGAAGTGTGAGGGTGGGCAAGCAGGGAGCAGGTTGGTGAAGTCACCTGGTCACCACCACATGCCACAGGGTGTCCCCAGGGGCAGGAGTTTCTATATATTTGATGGCATCTGGCAGAGTCCTCTCATGAATAAAGGAGCAAAGTGAAGCTGGGGCAGGAGAATAACTGTCCTCGGGTCACACGGCTGCCCGACGGCTGTAGACTATGAAGGAGTGAAATCACTGTGAACATGCATAGAGAGGTCAGCCACCTTGAACCCAAAGATGCTTTGCCAGACCATAAACTGCCCACCCCCTCCACTGCCCGGCCCCCACCCTGTCTTCCTACTTTTTGATTCAGAGTATTTGAGTGGGAGGCAGAGCAGTGCCCGGATGGTGGCCCCTCGGGGTCACCACTGGTGTCCACCCTTAAGTATCCTGACTCTCATGTTCCAGGTCCTTATTCTGCAGGCCACGTCCACGCCCCCACAGCCCACCTGGTAGGAGCTGTGTTGGGGGGACTGAAATGGGGAAGAGCAAATGAGGGGCCCCAGGTAGCAAGAAGAGCATGTAGTGTCTTCCCGGGACTTCAGGGAGACCCAAAGAAGGTAGACGAGCGTAGCCAGGACTTGTTGTTGGCCCTAAATACCAAAGGATTGTCTGGCAGGTTTCCTGGAGGGCACACAGCACGGCCAGGTCCTGAGAGGACTTCCTCCTGCCACCTCCTTCCACACCGGTGGGTCCTGCAGGCCATCACCCACCCACCCACCCTGCAGAGAACACACAGGAAAACCCACCCCACATTCAGGAAAAATATGTACATAACTGGTTTTCTTCTTAGAAATCAGTCATTGGAGTAACTGAAAAAATTGGAGTGAAGGAAAGCGGAGTGACAGAGATGACGTGGTCAGTGCTCTGTGGCCCAGCGGGGCCCCTACCTTTGTTCTCTGGAAGGAAGTTAAGACCCAGACAGATGTTTGGGGATAGTTTAGATGTCTCAGCTACTTTGTTTAGTTCATCCCAAGAGAATTTTATTCTAGGATAGAAGGGGAGGTGGAGGTCTGCGAAGTGCAGGGAAAGACAGCTGTGCTTCCCCGTGTGTGTCCCACACCGGTTAGCACCTGCCTTCCACAGTGAGCCCACGACTGACCGATTCCTTCAGCTTTGTGAGTCCCTGCTGTGTGGCAGCCAGGTGGGTCCAGCCTCCGTCCCTGACTTTCTGGCTTACCATGTGTATACAGTGCTGTTTGCAGATTCATCCATGAGCCATCTGTGCCCCCCCACCAGGATGTAAAACACCCACCAAGTCTCCACTGTGCTGTCACATGTGGTCATGTCCGATGCCTTCGTAGGCTCAGTAGCCATCACAGAGGCCTAAAGGGCCTGGGCAGGCTTGACCTACCCCTGTAGCAATACCAAGTGCTATTACATAATCGATGGACAATTTTATTTTTATGATTGTTTCTATATTGCTGTTAGAAAAAAGTGAAATAAAAAATTTCAAAAGAAGATATCCATGTAAAGAAGAGACATTTGCTTCCTTTTAGCTTGTTCTTGTTACAGCACATGCAGAGCCCTTTTCCTAGTTGAAAGAGGTGGGTGGATGGATGGATGGATGGATGGATGGATGGATAGATGGATGATGGATGGATGATGGATGATGAATGATGGATGGGTGGATGGATGGATGATGGATGGATGAATGAATGATGGATGGATGGATGGATGGATGGATGGATGATGGATGGATAGATGAATGATGGATGGATGATAGATGGATGATGGATGGAAGATGGATAATGAATGGATAGATGAATGGGGAAATGGATGGATGGATTATGGATAGATGAATGGATAGATGATAGATGAAGGATGATGGATGGATGACAGATGTATGGATAATGGATGATGGATGGATGATGGATGGATGGATGGATGATGGATGATGGATGATGGATGGATGATGATGGATGGATAATGGATGGATGGATGATGGACGGGTGGATGGACAGATGATTTGAGTCATCAGTTGAAGGTGTAGGAGGGAGGAAAAACTCACCAGTCATTCTCTTCCTCCACTGTGCCTTCCCCCAAGTTAGGTGGCTTGATGGCAGTTACCATCAAATTCCGCAGGGTACGTGGTATGAGCTCAAGATGTGGACTTAAGAAATGCAGTCATTCTTCCTGCATTTGGCCAAAGCCAAAACAAAGAAAACCCATTATCTCCCCCTTTTCCACAGGAGAACACTGTCAAGCTCTGATGAAGACCTGTGCCTTGAATTTTTTCAGCCATTGACAGCAACGTTTAAACCTGAAAATTAGCATGCTTGAGAATTGCCTGAGGTGCTTGCTGCAAACAAATGTTTCTGGGAATGTTCCTGGGAACACAATCCCCATTTTGCAACTCTGGAGTGGGGCCTGGGAATCTGTTTTTGGCAAACACTCCAGGTGGTAATGCAGGTGGTTCCAGAGACACTTTGGGAAAGCTTCAGAGGACAAAGCAGCTCAAGGGAAGGCATGGTTTAGAACTGGTCCTGCTGGGTCTCAGAAGAGGTCAAGTCAGAGATCAAAGCAGGTCAGTAACCACACAGCAGGGAGAAACACCTGAGAGCAATTGCAACTGTGTAGCAGCCACTGTGATTGTACCACCTGCCCCTCCAGGAGCAGCGGGCACAGTCTCTCTCCTCCAAGAGCATGCAGGTACAAATGGCACGTGGCTTCGGGGTGTGAGAGGGTGTGAGGAGGTGTAGCGTAGCTCTTGGAAATCCACCACTGCATTGGCAGGGGATTCAGAAGAATCTCAGAAGTTACTGGCCTTCCCATCGCTGCAGCCAGAGCCACAAGTCCACTTTTCCAACCCAAAGGAAAACTAACATGGCCTACAAACAGGACCAATAACTGGTGCCACAGAGGAGAAAAGGGAACACAGCACATGGAGTGGTGTGGGTGCTCGCCCAGCAGACAGGTGCTACACAGCCAGCCACCAAGGATCATGGGGAAGAGTCCAGAGACTGGGGAAGAGTCCAGAGACAGGTGCAGACCAAACAAAACAGGCGGTCCAGGGGAGTCGGTGCCCAAGGCAGGCTCTCGGCCGTGACCAGCACAGGGAGTGGGGTGTTATTGGGTTGTGCAGCAAGATCTATGTAGGAAGCACTTACTGCCCTATAGAAAGTAGGGGGGCCAGGGCAAAACTGGAGCCCGGAAGAATACAGGGCAGCCACAGAGGAGTGACAAGGGTCTGGCTGGGGGCTTATTTGGGGACATGCTCTGGGTGATAGTTTGATGGTAAAGCCAATGGATACACTGACCACTTGGACATGGCAATAAGGAAATGGAGGATTGAAGGTTGGACTCTGGCCAGCAGCTGTGAGGAGGTGGGGAGTTACTGAGAACCAGTGGGCACCAACAGCTCTGCTTCGAGTTGTGTTTAAATGTAGTTTGAGGATTTGTGTCAATGTGACCAAAATACCTGACAAGAACAACTTACAGGAGGAAAAGCTAATTTTGGCTCATGGTACCAGAAGTTTCAGTCCACAGACGGTCTACTCCATTGCTCTGGGCCCTAGGTGAGGCAGAACCTCATGGCAGAAGGGCAGTGGTAGAAGACAGCTAGTCCACTCAAGGCAGCAGAGAAACAGAAAGGAAGGGAGACGGGGCCACAGAGAAGATGAACTCTCCCAGGGCATGCACCCAGCGACCCACCCCCTCTGCCACTCCCCACTTTGTAAAGCTACCACCCAGTCAGCCCATTCAAAATAGATGGACTCAGTGCTGAGGTTACGGCTCTTGCAATCCAGTCACTTCACCTCTGAAGACTCCAGTGTTCACAGAAGAGCTCTGGGAAGCCAACTATCACAGATGTCAGTTAGACACCCAAGTTGGGGTTGAGGTGGACACAGGGCCTGGGATCAGGTAAAGACCAACATGGGAGACACACATTTGGGAGTCTGGATCTGGATCAGAGAGCTTGAAAACACTCCATCTGGACAAACTCCCCTAGGAAGAGGGCCAAAGTACAGAGGAGAAGAGGCTAAACACAGCATCCTGGGGATCCCAACATGATTTCTTTTTATTGGCTACTGACAATTTGTAATTGCATATGTTTATGGGTACAGAGTGATGCTGATACATGAGCACAATGTGCAATCACCAAATCTAGCTAACACAGCCACCACCTCAAACACTTGCTGTTGATTTCCCTGCCTAGCTGTGGCTTAGCCTCGGCCAAGGTGTCCCTGCTCCCCATCCATCCCAGAGCCTGGAAATCACCATCCTGCTCTCTGCTCCCAAGAGTTCACCATTCTTAGGTTCCACACACAAGTAAGAAAATGCAGTCTGAGGACTCCATCAATTGAAGATTTGACAGGCAAAAAGAAATGGTTGGAAGAAATAGCTAGGAAGTTAGAAGAAAATCCCTGGGAACAGGCCTCAGAGAAGCTTCCAAAAGAAAATATTGCAAGAAGGAGAGAGCCATCCCCATCAAATGTGACCCTGAGTAAGACGAGGACCGAGATGGACATTGGCTTCAGCACATGGAGACCACCAAGCACCACGGTGAGGACAGAGGTCCAGCCGCGCAGGTCAGGGAGAACCCGGAGGACAGGAATAAGTGGCACAGAGAGGCCTCTGTGTCCAGTCGCTTTGCTGAACAGGGAGCTGAGGAATGAGACTGAGCAAGGACACAAAGCTCAGGGGACAGATGTGGGTTTCTTATAGGTGTAAGATAAAGGTGTTGGCACAGAGGACCCACCAACTGTCCCGTGGGGGGAGGGAGACTGACAGGCAGGAGCAAGAAGCTGTGGCAGTGGAGCAGCTAAGGTGACTGTGCAGGGGACGCTAGGCCCGGGAAGGGCAAGGACAGCTCCATCCTAGCAAGAGGGAAGTCTGGGGCTGCCCAAGATGTGCAGGTCGGTCAACACCAGGAAGAGAGGGTGGGCCCAAGGCATGGCTCCTGCTTTCTCCATGAAATGGGAGCATGAATCGGAAGGAGTGGAACGTTACAGGTTTGAAGAGAGAGTCTTTGACATAATGATCTGAAAAGGAGTTGGTCAATTTGTTAGCAGAGTACAGTGAGGTCGTCTGCTGGGGCTGGGGTCACACATGCCATGCGGGTGACTTTTCCCCAGCCACCCTTAGCCGTTCCCACACAGACGCAGACAGGTGGTCAGTGGCAGAGGGGATCCGTCAGGCCGTAAGACGCAGGACAGAACAGGAAAAGGAAAGTGTCTTTGGAGGAGCCATCACCGTGTTGTCTAAGGCACCAAGCTGAGGAGGGAGGGACAGGGCAGAGAGGACGGGTGGTGGCCATACTGGAGAGGTGGGTGCGGGCTGGACATCTCAAATCCACTTGGGATGCTGGAGGGAAGGTGCTGGAGGAACAGAGGTAATAATCACAGGCGGCGACCGAGCTGGGGAGAGTGGAGGAGACATTTCGGAGGTGATGCAGCCTCTGCATTCAGCGGCCCAACTCTGGTCTCATTAGCCGCCAGGCCAGCTGAGTCTGCCTGGGGCACTGGGGACATGGCCAAGAGTTTGGCTTCCACAGCCCCCAAGTTCCTACCATCTCTTTGGAAAGAGGGTGTTGAGCTGATTCCCACCGCCGGCTACTCAGCGGGGACAGCTCTTTGCTCATTGTCCATGTCTGAGCCCCATATCTGTGGTCCTCCAGCCTGGGAAGGAGGTCAGGGCTGCCACAGAAGAGACCTATGACAGGTGACAAAGACAGCCCACCAGCAGACAGGCCTGCACAGCCCAGGCCCATCTGATGGGAGCTGAGCAGACTGAGGGCTGCAGATTGGCTATTTTTAAATACCCTGTTCACAGACTCAAAGGGAACAGGAGACAGCTAGGCGGGCTCTGGAGGAAATGGATGCCAGAAGAGAAACCTCAGAGGAGCACAAGGGCTCTGGGAAGTGGCCGTCCACACCCACGGGGGGAGACAGGTGGGCCATGAGGTTTCCTTCCAGCGCCAGGGGACACTAGGAGGCTCAGGCCAGCCTCATAGGAGAGCAGGGTGTTTACTGAGCAGGGGCCCCAGATGGCTCCTGGCCTCGCCCACTTCTCCACGCAGGGCCTACTGAGCACTAGGGAAGGAGCTCTTGCCAAGGAAGGTGCAGAGTCCCAATGACAAGCAGGACCCCCCGTCTCCCTCCAGAAGTCTCGCCTGCCCAGGTGGGTCTAGCCAGGCCCTGAAGGGCTTAGGGAATGCCCCTCCCCACCCACCCTGCACCTGCAGCCTCACTGGGAACAGTGTGCAGGGCTGGGAGAGAGGGCTGGGAGAGGCCGCGCTTCCCCAACCTGTCCCCCCCAAACAGTCAGCGCTTGGTGGGGGAAAGTGGGAGCTCCCCTCATCTTCCAAGGAGGAGAGGGTCTGATACACGGAACAGGGGGCTTCCAGTTTGCAGGAAGAGTGAGGATGTGAGTCAGGGAAGTGTCTGTTGGAGGAGGCGATTCCCAGAGCTCATCCTGAAACCGCCTGGATCTCAGGAGTCAGTTTGGGATTCCTGCACGGTCCCCACACAGC